GCGATCGTTTGTAGGGGAATAGCGGATGCTTGAGAAAACGAAGATTCACTCTCGGATGATAGTCTTGTAAAGTGTCGATGTTTGGTCATTTGACTCTAAGCAATAATAATATGTATTGATGAAATTTTGATGAAAGGAGTGATTAATGAAAAGGGAATAAAATTGGAAGAGACGAACAGTACAGGTGTGAAAATGGACACCAAAATGAATTTAGCTGAAAGATGCTAACCAAAGGTGGTACGCGACCAATAAAATCCGACGATCACTGTTCATGATAGATCGTCCCGATAAAAAATCCAACTTCTTTTTTCGGGTTCAAATAAGAGAAAGACTCTTGCGCTGTTAACGAAACATATAATGTCTGGAGAACTACTATCGATCAAGACGGCAGTTGAAGTGGCCATTTCTGCCGTTGTCGTTGGCGGATTTTATATTTATGTGCCTAGCCTAGTTGTTCCTATAGTTGTACTTGTGGTTGGTTCATGGTATAAATATTTGAATTCGTTGAAAAGAAAAGGTATGCACCTATCTCTCGTCCATTTATTGTCTTTTCATCCGCAAGATCTTTTTTCCAAAGATATCATAAATCTCACTTTGGAAAAAAAACAAAAAATCCCATGTTTTGTTGACAGTCAAACCAGTTCTAACTCCTGAACTATGGAAACAATTCCCGCTCGTGGAGAAAATTCGAATCAGTCACAACTCCGCTTTGTGAGTATCGTGACCGTGTCGCGTGTACTCTCAGATACATTTACATATATTGATTACGACATTTCAAATTCAAAAGGTATCGTTTTGCATTACCACACCCGGACGACGTTTTGGGTCTCCCGATCGGTCAGGTATTGTCAAATTCACTCACATGCGTGCGCTTCACTTCTAGAGTTCATACCGGAAACTTAGTGAATTCTCAAATGTAGCATATTTCGGTGCAAGCAGAAATTGACGGTAAACTTGTCCAACGCAGTTATACGCCAACTAGTTCAGATGATGACCTCGGTCATTTCGACCTTGTTATAAAGGTAGAAATGAAATGAGATATTTGTGTGACGCTCAATTATCAAATGCCTGTACCTGCATACTTAAATTTACATCTCTAGACTTATCCTAATGGAAACATATCCAAGTGGATAGACGAACTCAAGATTGGGGAAAAAATCACGGTCAAGGGTCCCAAAGGTCAATTTAAATATAGGCCTGGATTGGTCCGAGCTTTTGGCATGATTGCCGGTAAAAAACCTTTGCCTCTTTTCTTTGAATCTTTTTGTTTTTTTTCGAGTACCTTCTTTTTCATCTTTCTTCTTAAGGTGGCACCGGAATAACGCCGATGTTGCAGGTATAGTTTCATTAAAGAATTATTATCCGCTATTTGAGTTTTTTTTTTTAAAGATTTTATTTTCGTGAATTAGATTATCCGTGCCGTTTGCAAAAATCCATATGACAAAACGCGCGTCAGCTTAATCTTTGCAAATGTCACTGTCGATGATATCTTGTTGAAAGACGAACTAGACTCGCTCGCATCTAAACATGAAAATTTTACCGTTTTTTACACATTGGATAAGGTACGTTCTTAAACACGTGTTTTTTTTTTCCTACGGTTTTCCAACCTGAGTTTCCTGCCCTCACTCATACTCTTTCTTTCAGCCACCACAAGGTTGGACCGGAGGTTCTGGATTCGTGACACCCGAAATTATTGAAAAATACTGCCCTAAACCTGCGCAAGACGTCAAGATATTATTGTGTGGTCCTTTGCCCATGGTCAGTGCCATGACCAAAGTTTGCGAGTCGCTAGGTTACGAGAAGGCCAGAAGTGTTTCGAAACTCGAGGTAAGAGAGAATTAAGCCATTTAATAATCATAGATTATACATTTTCATTTTCATCACTTATTATTAACCATCAATCATTTATACATTATTCTAACAGGATCAGATTTTTAAATTTTAAGTATACCTTCCCTATATTTATACTACTAACCAGAATTTATTTATACAAACTAAGGAGTTTAACTAATACGCGGTCTAGTCACGTAATACAATCACATGTCTCTAGTCTCTAATAATAATCTTTATTCTCGTATCTCTCTTTATTATGATGTCGAGTGGTATAAAAATTATAATTTCCTAAACACGCATTACGTAATCAAAACTGATGCACAATTGTCAATGTATGAAAAGTTTGAGATGTAAAATTGAAATTTTCCGATTGACTTTATAACCCGTCAATATAGGGATTAGATTCGTTTACGGGCGCAATAAAATATTGTCATCTATTATGAGTTTGTTGATTACTAATCAACTTCTTTTATGTAATGATGATATATTTTTAATTAACGGAATCGAAAAGCCAAAGTTTATTAAGTGCTTGCCCTTACGTCATTCGGTGGGGTGATGAATGGTTAAATCTTGGGACTTTTTCCCATCTGTCGATGAATTCAAGCTTTTCTTGCATACGTACAGCATCTTAAATGCGCGAAAAATTTCAAACCCGTGTTGAAGCCGGTAGTGTTTTGGCTGGCGAGGTAGCGAGAAAATATAACAATGTTAACAACGATGTTGTCGTTTTGGCATTACCAAGGTATTGTGTGTTTCGTATTCGTCAATTCCTCTAATCGTCTTTCTCGTTTTCTCATTTACTTTGGGTCGCAGGGGTGGCGTACCGGTGGGCTTCCAGATTGCTCAACGAATCAGGGCTCCATTGGATGTCTTTTTGGTCAGGAAAATTGGTGTGGAGGGGTATGTGGAAAACTTGACTATGGAAGGAAAGGACATTACACTCAACTCTTATCGCGATCTTTTTTTGGTGACCGCAAATGGCTGCCATCCTATAGTTATGAGGAATTAGCCATGGGTGCCATTACCGAAACCTCCAGAATCTTTAATGAAGATATAATCTCAATGCTTCATATTGACCAAAAATCAATTGACCGCGTCATTCAACGTGAGGTACGTCGTCAGCTCCTCTTTTGATAATTTTGGCTAACTGAGACGACGCTCGCAAATAGATGACCGAACTGCAAAGACGTAATCAAAAATACAGGAAGGGAAAGCCGGCTCCCGATGTCACCAACAAGATCGTGATTCTCGTTGATGGCAAGTAATCATTTAAAGCTCTATCTAAGTGACTTTTTTGTATTTTATCGTAAAATTTTTTTTTAAAGACGGAATTGCTACGGGAGCGACGATGAGGGCCGCCTATACGTCCTTGAAAAAACTGTAAGAAATTTTGAGGATCACGCATATTCATATATTTTTACGCCCAGTTTCTTTGGTTGTGAACTTTAAGTGATTTAATTTCGTGACAGTAATCCTGAAAAGATTATAGTCGCAGTGCCAGTCGCCGCTCCGGAAACTCTGAAGAAGATGGGAAAAGAGGTGGATGACATAATTTGTCCATTGGTACCTCGTAGCCTATCAGGAATTGGAAAATGGTATCACAATTTTTCTCAGGTATGCTCGTCGACAGAATTTTACATCTGCGTGTTCTGTTTGCAAAAATTTCTTGATGAAATTTCAGACTGAAGACGAGGAAGTCTTGGCCTTGCTAGCCAAAGCCGAGGAGATCTGTCCCGTCTCCACCATCTCCGCCGAGGACACCGAAAAATATCAAAGTGAAACCATCTTGGAATAGATAAGGTCCCTTATTCGGAGTTTGTAATTTTAAGGGGAAAGAAAACTAGTTTTATGCAACGCAACAAGATTATACCCGATTTTGGGGTTTTCACATCTCATTACGATGAATTGACGTTATACTATTGTATGATTGAAATTGTATCATTGTGCATTACCCAAGAATAAGTAAATATCACGAATTACACTTATGATTTGATTGAAAATGTAAATAGATGGTTAGAAAAAAATCAATTGTATCGTCAAACAATAGTAGCAAAGTGAAAATCTATATAAAATTCATTTGTTTTGTTTTTTTTTTAAATTTAGTTTGGTTGTAAACCTTCTGACCCTTATGATAACATAGATAATAGGTCATTTGGAATATTTATAGTAAATTTCTTTGTTTGTTCTATAGTTAACAGGATAAGGAAGTAGTGCAAAGCACTTCATACCCTGAATGAGAGTAACGTCCCGCAAACAAAATCACGTGATTAAATGCACGCATCCATTAGAGGGATTATATTTAATGAAATGAATGGCTGTAATTAAGAGATGGATGGAAAAAAAAAAAAGAATCGTGAAATAAAGAAGAATCATAGTAATAATGAATTTTTAAGAGAGGACTGGCCATACTTCGACTCTCGAGTTTGTTAACCATAAATCATCTGGAACCCAGAGTTTTAGTAGGGCAATGGTCAAACATACTTGTTTCGAATCCCCCACGTTTTAACGACATAATGTAACATACTCATTAATTAAATGTTTAATATAGCTTTTTAGTGGTATGACAATCCATAAAAGTCTGCATGATCTCAGATTCGTGTGGCCCAAATAAGGGTATACCATCTCTTAATAAAAATGGCGCACATATCTATTTAATTGGCCATGCCCTAACTGCCTTCGCTCCTCTCACCAAATTTTTCGAGTGTCATGCGCATTTTAAGTGTGTTCCTCACAATAAAGTGCCTATTACTATTGTCTATTTTTTTGGACGTTACCAGATCAGAAGAGGCAAAACCCGGCTCGCTTATATTAGATTTGATAAATTACAATTCAGATTCCAAAAATTGGAGCAAAACGAACAGCGAAGTAAAATATGATAAGACAGACGATGTTGTCGGTTTGCCGTGCATGCAGGGTCCGACTGCGCAAGGAATTAGTGGTATAGTCTTGTATCTCGTGGATGCTTGTCAACCACGGATTCCCAACAAAATTGTTTACGACTTTCAGGTGATAGCTTTGGTGAAAGATAATTTATTTTGTAGCCTTCAACAACAAATTATCAACGCCGCTAATATTACACCCTCCATAGTGGGAATATTGTTCTATGGTCAGAACGGCCATGGAGATGATATTCCTGAAGATTTCATCAATGATGAGAAACACCATCCTTCGAGCAAACCTGCCTTTTATGTTAGTACGAGTGTAGCTAGTTATATACTGTCATCCGCCGCAAGTCTTTATAGCACAAACATTACTGGGACTCAAATATATGCAACGATGTTACCATCACAATATGGTGGTACGACAACTTTAGAGGTAGCCTTTATCAGTGTTCTGTCTACCTTATTGGGTGCATTTTGCATCTCACGTACGTATCTTTTACCTTTTTTTTTTTTTTCATATTTTCGCCAAAACTTATTTGATTCAAATTGACGAACATTAGTGGGAATACATTGCGGAGTGTATCGATGGAGGCGTGGTAACACGAGAGCGGAACCTTTGGTGATAACCAACGAAACTTTCCTGGAGAAAAAGGTATTGGACAGTTTTCCGGTCAAAAAATTTAAAAAATCATGTTGCTCTGAGTGCGTGAAAGAAAAGCCTGATTGCATAGATGTGAACGATCATAATGATACGGAAGTAGGGTGTAGTGGAGGAGTAATGATAGAGAACATTAACGTAGGAAATCAAGGTGCTGAGGTAAATAATAAAGAGGAGAACATTGAAAAGAACAATGACAATTTCAGGATAGATAAAATAGATGCAGATATTGAGAAAAAGGAGATTGAGAGAAGGGATGACAAAGGATTGGGGGAAAACGTAAATAAAAACATCGGTGATCAGAGCGTAGAAAAAGAAATAAATTTAGAAAAGGTCGTTGAATCAATATCAACTGATGAAGAGGATACGAAAGACATATCACAAAAGACAACGATAGATTTTAATAACACAAGGCCAGTGAACTCTACACCACCGCCGTCCGAAGAAGCGTCGATAGTGGTCACAAATATTAGGGAAACAGATGAGAGATCATTAATGGAGTATCAACGGAATTCCTCCACGAGTATAGAGCAGCATAGAATACAGGGCCCTCAGATTACCTGTGCCATATGTTTAGATGATTTTCAAGAGGATGATCTGCTGAGAATATTACCTTGCGAACATGAATATCATGTTGGATGTATTGGTAACGATTTGGATTTTGTCATTGAGGAAATTACATTTGGATAAATTTGAAATCTCGTTTCTCAATTGCTAATCCACGTATTTTTTTCTTTATTGAACAGACGAATGGCTCTCAACAAAGTCGACACAGTGTCCGCTTTGCAAATTCAATTGCAACCTATCAGAAGCATCGGATTCTCAGAGCGACAAATGTGATAACGATGAGGCATCCACCTCTATTGTTGTTTTACCAACATTAACGACAGATGATGTCGAAATTAACGATGAGAACGTAAACAACGATAATATTGTTAACAATAATGTAATAGTGACAATCGATCCACCAATAGATACCCCATCGATACAACCATCGAATGATAATCAAAATACTGTATATGAATCAATTTAATTTAACTAACATTAGAAGATTGTAGGGATGATTATTATTTAATATAGTAAACAATGTAAATATAGTTGATATTCAAAACCGGATAAAATGATCAAAGGCAAAAAAATAAAATAAAAAAATAACTAAAATAATTTATTTATGGAATTGGGTAAGTAATGTCGGTCTTGAAGTAGGGGAACACCTCCGTGTTGTTTTAAAAAAATCTTGTGTCTTAAAAGAAATGATAAACAATATACTTGTATAATATTGTACTGGAAATTACATAACAAGAAATAATAATTTTAAATATGTATGCACGAGCGTATCTTACGATTTTTGTAGATCTCGTATGATAATCCACGCGTATAAAATTAAAATAAACAAGGGCATCATTTAGTATAAGGTTTTACGATTTTGATATCAAAATTAGGTTTGTAATAGATCAGATGCTTTTGGAACGAATTATGCTTTTCTGTTGTGGCATTCTAAGTGCGGAAAAAAAGATTGCATCGATACACCAGTATTAGTATTCATTAATTGGTTAACGAATATAAATTAAAATTCGTTTAAATAAGATAATAATAATAATAATAATAATAACTAAAACAGTGAAATCAAAGTTTTTTGATTATTGATAAAATAAAAATAATCAATATAATTAATTATTTAAAAAAAAAGGTTTTTTAATTATAATTTAATTATAATTTAATAAATTTATAATCGTTTTTAAAAAAAATATTCCTTTTTTATTTATTTTTATCAATATACTTTTTAAAATATAATTGGTTTTATAACACAACATTAAAATTTATCAAAATATTATATATAATATACTGTTTTATTACTGTAAACTATTACATATAATATTCTGGATATTAATATTCTATCAAAAAATTTACTTAAAAAAAATAGAAAATTACTATTAAAAAAATTAAAAAAATATTATATGTAATGGTTTACAATAATACAAAATTTTAATTAAAAAATAAACTAGTAATAAATAATTTGTTTTTTTGAATAAAAAAATATTATTTCTTTATTTATTTCATATACAATATAGATATATATTTAAAAATATATATATATCTTTTAAATACAAAATATATAATAAGTTAAATGCTAATATATTTATAACAATTATTTAATCAATATATCAAAAAATATTTTAAACAATATATATACAATTAAATAATATTAAATAGCTATACAATTTTACTTGAATTCTTTTTAAAAAATTGTAATTATATTAAAGATTTTATAAAAATAAAAATAACAACAATAAGAAAATTCTCTATCCAATATAAATATTAAAGAAAACTATTTTTTTAATTCCTTGAAATTTATTTTTAAAAATTTTAGTAATATAGTTATTTAAGTAAAAGACATATAAATTGTAATTATTATAATAATTAATTGAATTGTTACTATTGATATTATTGTTAATATGTTAATAAAGTGGTTTAATTAACTTTGTTATTTTGATTTAAATAATATAATAAATTTTAATTAAATTATTGTCAAGTATTAATTAATTGAAAAAGGTAAATTAATTTCAATTTTTGTAAAATATATTATAAGTTATATAATATACAGATATTAAATTATTGGATACTAAATTTGTATTTTGAAATTTTTTGATTATCTTCAAAATAATTACTTATTTATATATTAAAATAATTTTAATAATTGATGTTATTTTTGTAATTAACAAAAAATTAAAAATTAAAAATTATTATTTATTATATTTTAATTATATGATTTTAATATATTTAAAAAACTTTTTTATATATTTTTATTTTTTATATTTTCAAATATACACATGTTTATTTTTATTTTAATTAATTAATTAATTATTAAATTAGTAATAAAAATATAAGTTTTGATTTTTTTCAATTATTTTTGTTTCATATTGTATATTATATATACAGTATATTAAAATAATATTTATAAAATTTATATGATTTATTATTCTATTGTTTTTTTAAATATGTTATTATTATTTACTTATAATTGAAAACTTATATATAAACAATATAAATGCTACTAAATAAAAGCAGAGTTTTTAAGAGTTTTTAAAGATAGTTATAGATCGATTATAACATATATATAATTAATAAGTTAGTTTTAGCTGTATTGTTAATTTTTGTAGGTATTTAAATTCAATTAAAATAATAAATTCTATATTACTCATAAATAACATTAATCCAATATTTAATAATAGGTTATATCTTAATTTATAATTTTATAAATATTAAATAAATATAATAACCAATTAAAGTCCTCAAATTCTGTTAAAATTATAATTGACGTCCCATTATGGACGTGTGTACGATTATCAAAGAAAATTGTACAACAATAAAAATAAGACAAATACGTAAGACATTTAAGTTGTTAAATATAAATTTTTGTTATAATATTTACACTCACTAAACTTTATCATAACGAAATAGTCACTCGATTACTATTAAATATTAATTAAGATGGGTGATTTAGAATATAAGGCATTTAAATATTATCAAAAATCATCCGATATGGGTGATGCATCGGGAACATATAACATTGGCTATTGTTATCACCATGGAATTGGAGTTGAAAAGGATGAATATAAGGCATTTGAATATTATCAAAAATCATCCGAGATGGGTGATGCAAAGGG